TCCTCCTCACACAGCATCTCACATCAACCACACGCACACAACAGAACACACTTGCCCTGCTTAAGCCTGCCCGTACCTTCACCCAGATAAACGAATCGCTTCACACATCACCCACACCCAACCGAACCAAGTGAAAGCATGTCATGGCAGCTCGCCACTTGCCATGACCTGCCCCTCTCTCCTGCTCCGTTACTCTCCCAGCATTCCATACACAGGAATCGCGCACTACCCAAGGGTCTCATGCACAGCACTTGCACCACGAGAGTAGACTGTGCTTGCTAGAAGGTGAACAGCTTACTACAGCTGCATCTACCATCTCCATTGTGACGACTGCGTCACACAGCTTAAGAGACTGGATACTCCAAGGTTTCAGTCATGAGTACTGCTGAAGATCACTCAGCAGTAGAGATCAACAACACTGGGTAAGACTTCTTCACCTTGCAAGTCACTCAATGGATATGCTATGGGAGCTTGAGGAATAACACCCTCTGATGAGCCGTTTTGGCACAGATGGCAATTAGGGGATAAGTCACCTATCCTTATGGCTAGTACACGATACGCATGTGCTGTTGATATTGTGCTTGTTGTTTCCATGTTTGTGGATCCATGGGCAACTATTGATTGCTTTCAAACACCGCCGTAGGATGTGCATCATGCGAAACGATATGGCCGTATACATGTGTTGCATGCCCACGCACACAGCACACACACACAAACACATATCTGATGTGCTTGCAATGAAGCGTGATTTCGTCCTTGCCTCACAGCCAATGACCCACAAATATCCACAAATAACCTAACTCCGTGCTTGCAATGTGCGGCAGGTCCTTCTCAGATATGTGATGTGCAAGTTTTCCCTAATGCAGCTGCTCAATAGTGTATTGACCACGCCCGATCCCCTTTGCACTACAAGAGATATACCCTCATGCCTCATTACCATTGGTCATATAACCAAGATTGACCATCCTGCCCTCACGCACGGTGTTCAAGCAAACGCCATGACCCCACATGTCAACATGCGAGCTCTGAAAACAGTATAAATGCCATCATCGTCATCAGCATCTCCATAAGTTTTTTCTTCCCCGTGTACTCGTCTTACTCCCACTGCTGATACTGTTGTTCTTTACCTTCTCCCTCTTCCTCGTGTATTCTTCGCCCATTCAACATTGACCTCGATTCTGTCGGACATGCACACTCCCTGAACCCCACTATGCTGTGTGTGCAATGTGGCATGATGAAACCTCTTCTTATTCTACATCCTCTATTTCCATACGCATACAACAAGCCCTCCAATTCCCTGTGTGCCTGCATCAACCTCCAACCCTCCTTTCTGACTCCAACACCAATATGCATACTGTAACCAATCCAGTTACTGTGTAACTACCACAACCACTTTCTTCAGCTTTGTGCCCCCTCTCCCTTCTTTATCTCCTTCCTCTTCTTGTCCTTCCTCTTCTTCTTCCTCCTCTTCAACTACCTACGACTTTGCAATTCACACACTCCTTTCCCTTTGCCTTCTCCTCCTACCACTCTCTTCCCCCTAGCGCTTTTCCTCCTCCCAGTTTTCTGTCTCCTCCTCCTGCTGCTGCTGCTTCGTTTTCTCTTCTTCTTGTTGTTTGCTATTATCTTTGTCATCATTGTCTCATCACTATCCTTGACACTGTTCCTTTTTCAAGAATGTAACAACATCCGTAATGACGATAACATGAACGAAGTCCAAGTTCCCAAATGCATCCTGAGCATTCACCCAGCCAGCCAACACTAAGTGAAATTATCACGGGGAGGAGGGGCTGCAGGGGTGCATCAACTTCTGGAACCACATCTTCCACAAACTGTGCACAAAAAGCAATGTGAAGCACCAGAGGCATCACAGCAACACATGCTGTGATAAGTCGTTTTGTAATCTGTGTGGTCTGCTGACATAGTGCCAATGAGGTTGTTACATCTTCGACGCACACGGGTCCTACCGGACCCGACTTAGGGCCGGAAGGACACATCAGGGCCTAAAGGCCCGACCTTGGGATATTACAGGCCCTAAAGGTCTGATCTTGGACCAGTACCCGACGGGCAGGCCCAAACGGCATTATCGTTTGGGCCTGGCGGCGCTCTTGAGGCTGCCGCCCGCCGGTCGGGGCTGAGCCGTCCATCTGGACGGTTCAGGGCATGGCCAGGCCTTGCAGCATTGAGGCCGGCCTCTGCCCCACCGGTATAAGTACCGGTACAGCCTCACTTGGAGGGATCGAACCACCGGCACTCTACCGGTGCGTTATGGTCAGCGCCAGAGCGCTGTTTGATGCGCTAAGTTTAGCGCAGGAGCGAGCAAGGAGCAGCAGCGGCAGCGCAGCATTAGCGCAGCGGCAAGCGGAGCAGCAGCAGGGCGACTGAGCGAGCAAGGAGCAGCAGCGGCAGCGCAGCATTAGCGCAGCGGCAAGCGGAGCAGCAGCAGGGCGACTGAGCCAGCACGGCGGCCATTGCCGCCTGAGGTACYTGGGAGCGGAGGACCTCTCCTCCCTCCCTCGTCAGCTCTCTCTCTCTCTCTCTCTCTCCTCCTCCTCCTTCTTCTTCTTCTTCTTCTTCTTCAGACTAGAGACTTATACTAGTTGGACAGAGATCAGAGTTGGACTTCGGTGATATGAGACTGTGGTACTTACCTGATTGGAGACTTGGAGATTGTTGAGGTTGATACTCGGCTGCATCACAGTTGGACACCGGTTACATCTGGACTCTGTATCTCCGACATTGGTGACCTATGGGCCTCGACATTTTGATCTTGTTGTATGACATTTTGGACTACCATATCGGAGACCTATCAGACTCTATCTATCGGTGTTGTCTACCTCCCCACCTCCTTCGTCTCTCCTCCCACCTTTCATCTGTGAATGCGTGTACGGGATCTGGGCATCGTCTATGAATGGACCAGACCCCACCATCTCACGATTGTATGTGTGTGGAGTGATGCTATGTGAGTCAGTCTATGAGTCAGTCCGTTTATCAGACTTCCGCTGCATATATGCTCATCCTACATTGGTTGATCTTTGGTTCTGCCCATACTCATTGAAGTATGCAACAGGTGGAGTAGGGTTGGGCTTGGGCGTGGGGAGGTCCCCAGTGGGTGAAAGGAAGTAGATAGGTGTCATCATCAGGTGAGCTTGCTGCCTTTCTTAGCCCACAGAGCATGGCATTTCCCACTGTTTAATACCATTCCAGTGCAGTTACAAGAGAGATTCTGGGAGGACATGCTTGCCACAGATATCTTCCCACAGTAGTAGAATAACAACATATTGTCCCATCAGCCACTACTGACTGGGATGGAGGGACACATGCATTATTCCAAACTATCCAAACACATAGCATCCACTGGCTCTCATCAGCCTACTCCATTATTGCCTCATTTTTCTACGTTCTATCCCGCCTGCTAAGGAGAACCGCACTAGAAGAAAGTTCAAGAAACACTATGGCCAAAATTTACCAAATTAAAAAAGCACAGAGGGGCCCACAACGTCATCGGGTCTAAGAGCGGAAAGGCTAGTCACTTGATTTCCAGTATCACTGCAAGGAGTTCAACCTACTGTTCATCATCGCTATAAATGGTGTGCTGTAGGCTAGGTTCAACCGATTCAAACAGATCTCCAAATTACTGCCTCACCTTTCTGCATTATATCCTGCATCCTGAGGACAACCGCACTAGAAGAAAACATTATAACCGATTTACAAATCCATAAACCTAGACGTGGTGAGGCTAGCCACTTGCTTTCCAGCACAGCTGCAGGGAATTCATTGATTTAACCTCCTGTTCATCCTAGCTACTGCCGTTGTGCTGCACTCCAGGTTCAGCTAAACCCAAGCCCATCCCCGGCTTTCACTTCAGACAATGCAAAAACACATCCCAACCCAGAGGATGACGTATCTTCCCCTCGTACCTGTACAGTAAATAGTGGGCTTCCACGATCTACAATCCAGGGAGTCTGGATTGGGTCCACTAATTCGTTTCTTGCTCCGGACGCCACTTTGTAGCAAAAACCTCCTAAGTGATTTAAACGACCTGCTGGTTAAGCAAAGCAGCATCTTCTTCTAGATTGTGGTTTGCATCCAAAAGAAGAGCAAGGCCCCAAGGCTCTGACATTGATCCTTCTCACAGGAGAGGTGAGAGGTAAGACGAAAGGAACAGCACACTACAGATCTGTCTTTGCCTTATTTGGAATTTGAACTCAGGTCTGTGTTTCAACTGTTGATGTGCATACCAACTGATCTAGCTGCAATGTTAACCACAGCGTGATTGAGCAGGAAGTGTTACGGACTCAGCCAGGGCTCGACCCCTGGTCCGCGGGCTACCACCCGCCAGGCCGCTATTTTATTTTTGGGTTTCTGTTTTCCTGACTGTTGGCGTCCTCTGCAGTTGGCGCCTGTTCTCAAATTCCTCCTTTTGGCACTTGCAGATTTCGATACTTGCCATCCAGGATTCTGGCGTCCAGACTCAGACCTTCGATTATCAGTTCAGCCCTGAGGCAAATTGCACTTTGGCCCTTGTGACTGAACTTGAGTCCCGTACTTAAGACCAGACTCAAGCCCAGTACGGGCACTCAGTTTTCGGCCTCAGTGCTTGTGCTTCAACGTGACTTGCTGCGGCATTGTGTTCAGAACCCAAGATTGTGACTTTGCGACTTTGCCACTTTGTGTCTGCGTCCGTCGAGTTGTGTCGAGTCCGTGTCGAGTCGAGTGAGTGTCTGTGTGTACTCTCACTCCCTCCCTCTCTCTTCCCCGGCCTCGCTGCTCTGCCTCAGCCTCGCCACACTGGTATCGGAGCGGCAAACGGCCCCTCCCTGTTCCGGCACTGCCACGCCATCGACATCGTCACCATCGTCATCGTCTCCAGCGCCGCCACATCATCCCCATCGCCGTTGTCTTCAAGAACGCTGACACATCAGCACCTCGCTGCCTTCGTCGTCGCTGCTACCACGTCACCGATCCCTTCTTCTCCCTTCTCCTTGTTTCTTCCTCACCTCCTTCTCGTCATAGTCATCAAATTCTTCTTCTTCTTCCTCCTCGTCGTCGCTGTCTTTCCTTTTCTTCTTCCTCCTCTTCTTCTTCTTCATTGCTCTCATTCTTCCCCCCCCCTCTTCTTCTCTCCTGCCTCTTCCTCCCTTCGTCTCCGCCACCTTCATCATCGCGCGCTCTGGTTCCCCCCCCCACTCCGCGCGATCTTCTCCTTCCCCCTGTCTCTTATACACATCTAGATGTGTATAAGAGACAGCAGATAGGGTGAGAATTGGCTTTCCAGGTCCGAAACACCAGGGGCATGCTTCGCGCACCCCCCACCACGATTACGCTTGTACGCAGGGGGGGCCAGACGCCCTCCGTCTCTGCCCCTCTACTAAAAATATTCCGTTAAATTGATTGAATACTTGCTTGAGCAAACTTTTATCTACAGAATGAGAAGATTCAGAATTTTGTTTTCATCATGAAAGAAAGGTGAATATCCAATAGGGCCCCCCCCCCCCCCCCCCCCCCCCCCCCCCCCCCCCCCCCCCCCCCCCCCCCCCCCCCCCCCCCCCCCCTCCCCAAACTCCCTCCTCCGATCTCGACTCCCCCACCTGCGCACTCCAACCCCAACCTTCCCCCACTGGACTTCCCCCGATCCTTCCCTGACTCCCCCGATCTCCATTCCACGCCCCCACCCCCGACCCCAACCGGGATCCTCTTCCCCCGACTTTCTCCTCCCAGCCCCGTTGCTATTCCACCCCCTGTTGCCACACAATTGAGACGTCCCTCCCGCTACATTCCCCGCCCACCACCCTGCAGCCAACTGATATTCCCCCAACCTCCCCCCCCCAGTCTAATTTCTAATTCGCCTCCTACACTTCGACACTATTGGATAGCCCACATAGCTAGGATCGCTCCTCCCTCACTTTATTATTATTACTTTTTTTTTCCTTTTTCTTTTTTTTCCGCGAATCTTAATTTATTTTTATTTAGTTTTTAACTTTATTCAGACTTATTAGTTTGGAATTTGCAAAATTATTTCTTTTTTTTCGTTATACCTCAAACCTTTCACCTCTTTTTTCAAAATTTCTTTTTCGTAGTTCAAAAATACCTTTAATTAATCCTTTTTCAAAAATTTTATCATTCAAAAATTCAAAAATACTTCAGAATTAATTGATTCTTTTTCAACATTTTCTTTTTCGAAATTCAAAAACTATTTTAACTAATTCATTTTCTTGTATATTTTAATTCATAAAATTCCTTTTTGAAATTTTTCTTGAAAATTCAAAAACACATCATGATCAATTAACTCTTTTTTGCAATTCTTTTTCAAAATTCTCTTTCGAAATTCTTTTTTTGTAATTAAGAAGTACTTTCCATTTTGAAAATGTTATTCTGAACTCCTCAATTAATTCCAACTAAAATCAATTAATTCACGACTGAATTAATCTCTTTACTCGAAATTAACCATCCTTTTTTTAAATTTCAACATCTTTCTTCGTTATAAAACTCTACCCCGAATGTAAATCCGAATAAATTTAGTCAGAATTTATTTTTCTTCTCGAAATTAATTATTCCTTTTCTTTATTTCAATTTTCCTAAAAATCCATTTTCTATCTCAAAACCTTTTTCAAATTTCCTTGAAAAATACACTCGAATTAATTATTCAAAATTAATTCTTGTTTTACGACTTTTATTTCAAAAAATTATCTTCATCGCTAAATCAATTGATAGCGTTCTACTCTTGCCCTGGGCATGCCACGCTCAACCACGAACTCTCAATCTGCAGCCGCTGCCGCCACCGCTGCAAATGCTGCTGCAGCTGCAGCTGCCACCTCATCCGCCGCTACCACCGCTTCCTCCCCCACCATGGCCTAGTCATCCAACATTGATAAGTCAGGCATCCGCACCGACTCCGTCGACAGCATCGCCTGCGACCTCGCAGGCGATCAAACACCAGCACCCGAGCATGGTGACATCCATCCACTCATCCATCGCCGACATCAAAACGCCCGTCTCCACCATCTCTGCTCATGTGACAACCATCGAAGATCAAACCCCCGCCATCCAGATCATCACCACCATGTTCGCTGCTGCCACCTCATCCGCCGCTACCACCGCTTCCTCCCCCACCATGGCCCAGTCATCCAACATTGATAAGTCCGGCATCCGCACCAACTCCGTCGACAGCATCGCCTGCAACCTCGCAGGCGATCAAACACCAGCACCCGATGCCGCCACCGATCTTGCGACACTCCGCAGCATGGTGACATCCATCCACTCGTTCATCGCCGACATCAAAACGTTCGTCTCCACCATCTCTGCTCGTGTGGCAACCATCGAAGATCAAACCCCCGCCATCCAGATCATCACCACCATGTCCCCTCCCCCCATCTCGGGCTCCACCACCCTTCCCCCATCCTCCGCCTCCACATCTACACCAATCACCTCCTCCCCCACATCTATCGCCCTCTCCGCTAGCACGTCATCCACACCCCCGCCTCCATCCACCACTACCTCCACCATGGTCACCCAGACGACAACCCCCGCCCTCACACAGTCGTCGACCATTCCCCCCCAATCAAAACCCCTCTTGACTTCGTCCACTATCACCTCCACCCTCCCCAACTATACGATCATTCCCATGCCACAAGCTCTATATCCCGGTCTTTCACTACTTCCCCCAAACGCTCTCATCCCCACCAACCCCAACAACGATTTCATCTCGGTAGCCTCTTCCTCCCCCTACCCTTGACTTCAACGCTCTCGCGACGACTGCCCCCAAAGATGGCAAAATCCCTCCATCCTTCTCCGCCAACGAGATCCCCACCTGCTTTGGCCTACCCCATGAGGGTGTCTTCCTCTTTCTCACCAAACTTCAACAAGACTTCTCCCTCCACAACATTCCAATTATCCACTAGCACCCCATAACCAGCACCAGACTCCTAGACGATGCCGCTCGTTCGTGGTACACAAAAATGACCAACTGTCATCAGGCCAATCTTCCACCTCACTCCTTCCTTGAGTGGGCCACCATGATCACCTCCACCTTCCGTCCACAGAAAACGGTCGACGACTACATCGACCAATTTTGTCGGCTCCACCAAAACGGCCCAACCGACTATTTTGTTCAATACGTCCACTCGCTAGTCAACACAGCCCCATCGACGTCGTGAGCGACATCGCATTCATATCCTGCACCGAGCTCGTATGCCGCAAAGACCTAGCGGTCGCCCTCGTCCACGAGCCCCCCATGAGCCTTGTCGATCTCCTCGGTCGCACCCTCCAAATTGACCACCTCTTCTCGCCCTACAAGGCCGCACTCACATCGACCCCTTCATGCCCTCGCTTCTTCCACAACATCACCTCCGAAGACACCACCTCCACCACTTCCTCAGACGAGTTCACAGCCCCTCTTATTGAGGCCGACACCATCTCCGACTCCTCGTCTCCGGTGTCCCTCAATTCAGAGGAGCTCAACACCATCCAGTTCTTGCGCATGGAACGCAAGGACCACATGGCTCGACCGTCTTCCTCCAACCCACCCCCCCGTCTCAAGAAACTCACAACCGAGGAATGTGCCTACCTGCAGGCCAACAATGGCTGCTTTCGTTGCCGGCAGCTTGGACACCAGCAAACCAACTGCCCCAACGCCGGCCAATTCACTCGCCACGGGACCAAACCGACGACATCCACTCCTTCGGCCGCCACGGGACCTAGCCCCTCCTCAACATGACCTTTGTACCCTTGATCTCGCCAAGCACCTCCCTCCACTGGCACCATCCTCTACCCCACAGGACGATCCCCAGGCATCGCAACCCACATTGTCGCTTGACAAACCTCCCACTGATGCATGCTCCTCTACCCTTCTCCTGAATCCATCCTCCGTCATTTTCTCTAACGTTGTTGAGGAACAAGCCCGACATGATCTGCTTGTCCGATCAGGCATCGAACAGCGCCGCCTCAACACCATCATCTCCACCACGTACTCATCCCGCTTCCACCTCAAGTTTGTCGCTGCCACCCTTGGTGCGTCTACGACCAAGTTTCGGCCCCTCCTTGATATTGGAGCTACCGGCAACTTTATCACCGACGCGTGTGTCCGAAAGCCCGTCTCACTTCTACCGGTTACGACTCCCCGATTACCATTCATTTAGGGGACAAAGACACAGCCGCCGTAGTAGACCGCACGGTTCCCGAGACTACCACGACTGTCGGAACCCCTCCGCAGCCAGGTCTAATTCGATGTCATGCACTTGATGTGCCACATCGTCTTGGGAACACCTTGGCTGGACAGCTACATGCCATACGCATTCCGGCCCAACTTCTTTCCCCTCACCAACCCCCCCGACATGCCTATCGACATCCCCTATTTCCCCCACCCAACCTCGCATAACTCCGTCACACCTCAGCAATTCCTCCACATGGCTCGTGAAAGCCCCGACCACTTACTATTGCCTTGTCCTTGATCTGGAGCGTCTCGAGGACCCACTCCCAACGGACAAACCCGATCAAGCCCCCCCCACCAACCCCGCCCTCACCTCCATCCTCAATGAATTCAAGGACGTTTTCCCTGAGTCATAGCCCGCCGGACTACCCCCGGATCGTGGTGTCTCCCATACCATCAATCCGGAACCCGGCCAAACTTCGCCCTGCCGCCCTCCATATCAACTCTCCGTCCCGGAAGCCGAAGAAATGAAGCGGCAGCTCAATGAACTCCTTGAAAAAGGATTTAATAAGCCAAGCTCCTCACCCGTCGGCACAAGCTTCCTTTTTGTCAAGAAAGGTGGAACCTCGAAATTACGAATATGCACAGACTCCCGCGGCTTGAATCGGATCACAATCAAGAACAAGTACCCCCCTACCTCGGATCTTCGAGCTTCTTGATCGGCTTCGTGGAGCCAAGTATTTTATCAAAATCGACCTTCGCAATGGCTTCCACCAGATCCGCATCCGCCAGGAGGACACCCACAAGACCGCATTCCGCTCTCAGTCCGGGCACTACGAGTTCCTCGTGATGCCTTTTGGACTCACCAACGGCCCCTCCACATTCCAATCCACCATCTTCTGCAACCTCCTTGAAGTTTGTGTCGTCATATACCTTGATGACATCCTCATTTATAGCCCCACCTTCGAGTCCCACCTTCAACACCTTTGCCAAGTCCTCTCCATCCTCAAAGAGCAAAAATTCTACGCCAAGCTCAACAAATGCACCTTTGCTGCCTCTAGCGGAGAATACCTTGGCCACATCGTCTCTGCTTAAGGAATCCACATGGACCCCAGCCCTCGTTGAGTATCCCCCGCCCAAGACCCTACTCCAACTAAGCTCATTCCTTGGCCTTGCTAACTATTACTGCCCCTTCATCCGCAACTTCTCTGACATCTCTTATCCACTTTACAAACTCACACGTAAGGACGAGCCCTTCAACTGAAAAGACTGCTGCCAAAACACCTTCGACTTACTCAAACATACCATCACCACGGCCCCCGTCCTCAAGATCGCCGACCCCTCCCGACATTTCTACGTTACCACCGACGCATCCGACTTCGCCATTGGAGCCATTCTATCCAAACAGTTCCCTTCCGACACCGCCACAAACCCCTCCATCAAAGACTCCCCCACCCACTGTGAGGCTCCACCCGACGAATACCCCATCTCTCTCGCAAGCAGGAAGCTCCTTCCCGCGGAGATGAACTACCCCTCAAACGAGAAGGGACTCCTTGTTGTGATCCACGCCCTCAAAGTCTGGCGCTGGTACCTCGAGGGGCAATACTTCACCATTCGCATCGACAACGCTATAGTCTCCTCCATTCTCACCAAGAAAGACGTCACACCTCGCAAAGCCCGCTGGTTAGACTTTCTTGCCCAATTCATATTTACCATTTGCCACACTCCGCCAAAAACAACCGCGTCGACGATGCCCTCTCACGACGCCCCACCACAAGCCCCCTGAGAAAGTCTCTGCCTCCATGACCCAGATTAAGCTCCTCCCTTCGCTCCATCAGCGATATACACAAGGATACCTCTCATGGCCCGACTTCCCCGCCGTCTACAACAAGCTTCGTGACCTCGACCCTGTTCCCGCCTACTCCCTCCACGATAATCTTCTGTAAATCGACACCAAAGGCACTCGCCGACTTCGCATCCCGGACGCACGTGGTCTCCGTGCCCAGCTCTTGGTCGAGCACCACGACGCCAAGACCGCAGGACATCTCGGGTTCCAGAAAACCTTTCACACCATTTCCTGCTACTTCCACAAGCCTTCCCTATTCGCCGACGTCAAAGCATACATTCGCTCATGCCCGATGTGTCAAGCTGGCAACCCCTCGAATCGGGCCAAACCCGACAAGCTACAATCATTGCCTATCCCCACCCACAAGTGGCAGTCCATCTCTATGGACTTCTTGTGTGGTCTTCCCAGGACCGAACGCGGCCATGATTGCATCTACGTCATTGTTTATCGCTTGACTAAACGGGCCCATTTCATCCCTCGCACCACTTCGCACAACGCCAAAGACGTCGCCACCCTCTTCTTTGATCATGTCGCACGCCATCACGGCCTCCCCGAGAACATCATCAATGACCGTGATCCCCGCTTCCTCTCGCAACTCTGGAAACACCTCTTCAAAGCATATGGAACCACGCTCACGTATAGCACTGCATTCCACCCCTAGACTGATGGACAAACAGAGAAGATGAACGATACTCTCCAAAGAATCCTATGGAAGTATTTTCCTCCACACCAACACGACTGGAATTAGTTGCTCACAACTGCCGAGATCACCTATAACAACACCGTCTCCCCTTCCCCTAGCATGTCCTCATTCTACCTCGACCTTGGCTACCATCCTCGCTTGCCCTCCGACTTCTTGCTTCCTTCACAACTCGACCCCTCCACCCCATGCCCTTCTCTCAATGAATGTGTAGCAACAATGAATAGACTCCTAAGAGAAGCCACTGAACCCTTGAACGAACACAAGAACAACAAGCCAACAAGACCAACAAACACAGATGTGACGTGTCATTCAAAGTAGGGGACAAAGTTTGGCTCTCCGCCAAATGCTTTGAACCCTAACACGACTTGTCCAAGAAACTCTCGAACAAGTGGCTCGGTCTCTTCCCCCATCAATTACAAACTCCAACTTCTCCCTGCCATGAGAATACCATGAATCCCCACCCCAATTCGCTGCCCGCCGATATCCTAGACCTCCACCAATCATGTTACCCACAGACCCTGAATTCGTCGTCGAAGCCATCATAGGATGGAGAACTACTCTGGTACCTGACCACCCTAAACCAATCACATAATACAAAGTTAAATGGACAGGATACCCTGCCGAAGAATCCACATGGGAACCTCTTGCTAACCTTAAGAATGCCATGAAACTTGGTTCGTGCCTATGATCGCGCCCATCCTATATGCTAGCAACCCACTATGCCTAAACCCTACCAAAACCCCGCCTAAACCCCGCCTCAACCCTGCCTCCATGCGCTACGCACATCCCCTGTACCCAGCAAAACCCTTGCCCTTTGACCTCCCTCTGTCTGATCCGCTCTTGCCTCCGTCTCATCTCATTCTCCCATTTGTCCTCCGCCACATCTCTATCCCACTTGTCCAAGCCCTACATGTGGCCCCTGCGCGTCGCCGGCGATATCCTAGACCTCCACCAATCATGTTACCCACAGACCCTGAATTTGTCGCCGAAGCCATCATAGGATGGAGAACTACTCTGGTATCTGACCACCCTGAACCAATCACAGAATACAAAGTTAAATGGATAGGATACCCTGCCGAAGAATCCACATGGGAACCTCTTGCTAACCTTAAGAATGCCATGAAACTTGGTTCGCGCCTATGATCGCGCCCATCCTATATCCTAGCAACCCACTATGCCTAAACCCTACCTAAACCCCGCCTAAACCCTGCCTCAACCCTGCCTCCCTGCGCTACGCACATCCCCTATACCCAACAAAACCCTTGCCCTTTGACCTCCCTCTGTCTGATCCACTCTTGCCTCCGTCTCATCTCATTCTCCCATCTGTCCTCCGCCACATCTCTATCCCGCTTGTCCAAGCCCAACATGTGGCCCTTGCGCGTCGCCGGCGATAAAGGATCTAATGGCAAGCGCACGAAGACGATGGCATGCTGCAGCTCAGTACGAGGAGAGATAAGACAACTGGTTGGCCACCATGCTGTTGCTTTTCACACACTTCTGAACAGCACCGTTGACATGGACAGCAAGATCAGTCTGTGACCTGCTATCCGGATCAGACCTCATCACCAGATCGTGTACCGGACGCAACCTGCTACAGGGACAATCAAGCTGAAGCCCTTGCCGTCTACATCACAAAACTGCTGAAGACTGCTTCCGACACTTCTGCGACACCCTCCAAGACCTTCCTCAAGAAATTTCTGCACTTTTTGACACTTTGTTACAAACCTGAGACGTTGTTTTCCCAGATCCCTCAGACACCCCAGCACTTGAGCATTGAACAAAGAATTTTTATTTTTTTACTTTTTTAAAGTTTTTCCTTTTTCTCAAACCTGACAACCTATAACCTTGTAGAACATCAATAGGACTGCCCTGGTACTTATAGAACTTCATTAGGGTCACCCTGTTACTTGAACCCTGCTACCCTCAAACTTGTACAACCTCAATAACCCTGTTATCTGAACATTGCTACCCTCACCCTTGTAAACCCTGCTACCCTCAACCTTGTACAACCTCAATAAGCCTGTTATCTGAACATTGCTACCCTCACCCTTGTAGAACCTCAATAGGATTACCCTGTTACTTTAGCATTGACACCCTCATCCCTGTAGAACATCAATGGTATTGCCCTGTTACCTGTAACTTTAACCTTGTAGAACCTCAACTACCCTGTTCCCTGAAAATTGATACCTTCACCCTTGTAGAACATCAGTGAGATTACCCTGTTACTTGCATTACTCCCCCTCTCCTTTTCTGACCAGTGATCGCCCCCGTCCCATCCTTCACAGTTGTTCATTGCCGGGACGTTGCCTTCCAGAGGGAGGGGATAGTGCTACGGATTCAGCAAGGACTACCCCTGGTCCGCGGGTCTATTTCTTGGTTTCTGTTTTCCGGTTCTTGACTGTTGGCGCCTTCTGCAGTTGTCGCCTTCTGCAGTTGGCGCCTGTTCTCAAATTCCTCCTTTGGCACTTTCGGATTTCGATACTTGGCCCCATCCGGCATTCTGGCGCCCAAACTCAGGCCTTCGATTCTCAGTTCAGCCCTAAGGCAAATTGCACTTCGGCTCTGGGGACTGAACTCGAGTCCGGTACTTGAGACCGGAATCAAGCCTAGTACGGGCACTCAGCTTTCGGCCTCAGTGCTTGTGCTTCAGTGTGACTCGCTGCGACAATGTGTTCGGAACCCAAGATTGCAACTTTGTGACTTTGCCACTTTGTGTCTGTGTCCATCGAGTCCTGTCGAGTCCGTGCCTAGTTGAGTGAGCGTGTGTGTGTGCTCTCACTCCCTCCCTCTCTCTTCCCCAGCCTCGCTGCTCTGCCTCAGCCGTGCGGTGCGGCACCTGCTCATGCGCCGTACCGTCCACCATGCAGCGTGGCACCTGCTTGTGCGCAATACCAGCGGCAGTTTGCCCCTTTTTTGCCTTTGTTTAGCTGTTTTGTAGATACCTAAGGAACTGATCTTTTCAAGTACAGTCGTACAGATTTTTCTTTCCGTCCAATTGGGCATGAGAAATAGAACCAAAAAGGTGTCTGGGACATCAGTCTTAAGTCTTGACCTTTAGGTAGCGGCATTACCCTCCCTCTAGTTTTTTTTTTTTTTTCCCATCCCACAACAAATCTTTAAAGGGGACGCAGGTGACCATTGACCCAGCCATGCAACAGTTTCGAGATCCCTTTTTTTTCAGTGAATATTTCCCCCATGCGCCGCACCGTGCGGGTCCGCTCGTGCGCCGAATGTGCGGACTTTTCGGCACGGCGCCCGCTTGCATGTATGGTTTAAACCACTAGTCCCTCCAAGCCTTTTTTTCCTGAGACAGAAAAACAAAACCTGCCATCAAGGGAGTGGGAACTTTTTCTTTTTCCTCTGCGTTACCAGCCAATTTCGTCTAGCAGACCGAGCCCATGCTAACACAGCAGGTAAATTTCCCTGTCTGAATAAAACACCTCAGACAAGGACTGATGGTTTAAAAGCCAAAT